TATTTTCTACAAAACATTGAGGCTTTATCTTAAAACAAATTAAATATCCGAAATTTTTAAACAAAGAAATAAATTTATGGGCCAAGGGGCTGCAATTAAAAAACAGATTGTCAATTTTGTTTTTATACAGAACATTACCTATTCTATTGTAATAGACTCTCCCACAGATAATAAGTAAATAGTAGTATTAATAAAGGTGGCCAGTTGGGAAGAGTTTAGGACGAGTCCAGTCGATGTCGGACATTGAAGTGGCGATCCCATCACAACTAGATTGACAGATGTGCGTGTTCATTAAAGTTTTTATTTCAAATTCCTAATGTTTTGTACTGTCGAACCATTTTAGGACCGACTTTCCATTGAAATAAACTACTTACTTCAACAATGTAAAAAATTAAAGCAATACATTTTCATGCAAAAAATTTACCTGCAATACATTTTTTTTTCTTTGAAGTTGAAGCCATTTTTTTTAGGATAAAAAAATATTTACTGTCAATGAAAAAATATTGTTTTCAAAACAATTTAGATTTAAAATTCTTTTGTTTATATAATTACGATATATATATAATGAAAAATCTTTTTTTCAACCAACATGAAAGGAACATTTTCATGATATTAATCCATATAATATATACAATTTTTAAAAGAAATCAAATTGTAATTTTAAAAATATACAAAAATCTACCACATAAAAAAACATATCAGCGACCAATGGTAAATAATTATGTCCACAAACATCTATGCCAAAAAGTGAATATAGTGGAAATATATTCTATTGATAAAGCAGAATAACTTGTTTCATATTTTATATAATAATTTTCCCAAGAAAAATTAAATTTCGGCATTAAATACCCATAAGGAGTTGAATGAACGTTAAACAAACAAATATAAAATCATTTTTTAATACTATACACAACACGCACACACACACACACACACACCACATTAAACATTGATTCTCAACAAATGCAGCAACAGAAAATTTAAAAAGGATTCTTGGACATGGAAAAAAAAATCAAGATTGATTTGCGTTAACCATAAAAATGTCTTTACTTGTTCTATGGAAAGATCTAATTTCAATATTTACATACGCCCTATGAGATGATATAACCGAATATTAAATATAAATAGGTTCTAATCAAGCAATCCTATACAAATACAATATGAAAAATATATTGTAACAAAAAAATGTGCTCAATTTTTGATTGTTGACAAATTAAAAAGAAAGAACTATTGAATTTTTCACCTATTTCAATTCAGATTTTTATTTTATTTTAAGAATAAATACAAACTTTTAAAATGATAGAAGAATAATCTTTTTACCTTTTGAAAAATTAATAAATTGTTAAAAGCAATTAATGTAAATCATTATGTATATTGTTTTTATATATTTATATTCTTACCAAATATGTACCTACTTACAGGCCTGATTAAATGTAAAGTATTTTAAGTTAACCTTCATGTGAAAGTACTTTAATATTAATAAATATAAATTTGTTCCTCTAAACTTGGTGCCAACAATTTTTAAGAAAAAATAACTGAAAACAAATTCAACTGATATCTTCATAAAAAATATTTGATATGCAGCACAAATTGTTTGAAACCCGAAAAAATTGAAAACTTGTGCTGTCGTTTTTATTTAAACTCTGTTTGCTGGATTCTTTTGACTGATGATAAATGAAATGGTCATGGTAAATAATATTTTAACGATAATCTCTCCAAAGAACCCTTTTTGGAATTTTCTTTTTCTTTTTATACATTTGATTATATTTAAACCATATGGGAGTATTATATATATATATAAATATATATAAATATATATTTATATCTATATATTTATTTTAGATGTTTATAGTAATAGGTAAAATAAATTTAATTTTTCTTTTAATAGTTATTTATGATTTTGTATTCAAATTCTTAATTTTTTTTTTTTTTCAGGATTCCTGTTGATTTTAATAAAAAATTTTCCATCAATTTTTAAAATGTTTAATTTAAAAGTTTACTTATGCACGCAAGCCAAAAAAAAAAATTAAAAACTTGTTTTCAAAAACAAAAAAAAAAGCCATTCCCCTTATAAAAACTCTTTGAAACTAAACAATTGAAAAAACTTAACAAAACAAAATTCTTTTTTAATTTATAAAAAAAAACTCATGCATTTATGGGATGTATGTTGATATAATTTTTTATATAATATCTTTATTATATTTTTATCCTGTGTATTTTAGAAAAATTTCTCCAAAAAATAATCTTAATTTATAAAGTGTTAAATAGTTTTTTTGTAGTTTCATTCCTTTTAAATGTGATAAATTTCATGTTAATAATATTTAGAAACAGGGATTTATTAATATGCAGATACTTAATATATTCTTTATAAAAATACAAAATTTAACCATTACTGTTTTTTTTTTTTTTTTCATTATATTCTCTTTTTTTTTTTTTAGATTATTCCAAATTATCCGTTTTCATTTTATAAATTCGATGAAAAAATTTTTTAAATAAACGGGTAAATCAAAAACATTTTATTGTTTTTAATTAGTTGATTTTTCCTTTTATGCTATATTGAAATTCATTATAAAAGACGATAAATCTTTGATATACTAAAATTTATTAAAAAAACATCCTGAAAGAAATCAATAAGTCATTAATTATCATAATAATCGACATTGCGAAATACAGACACAGATATGGATTTATTGTTTTTAATAGTGAAACTTTTTTTTTCATAATTGAATTTTTGTAAAATACCAAAATATAAAAAAATATACCATGCAATTTCTTAGCAGAATATTTTAACATATATGAATCTGTAAATATATCCATTTATAAATGCGATATGCATTCATAGACTTTAGATAAAAAACATATTTTAAATATTTAACACATAAATTGAGGCTTTCATACTAAACGATAACGTTCCAATGGATTGATTTAAACATAACTGGTTTGACAATAAACGTAATAACATTGTATTAGAAATAATTAATGGGTTGTACATTAAATAATTATTTATTCGGTTTTATAAGGAACATAGTAAAAAGGGGCATTTGAAATATATTTTAATGTTCATTTTTGTTATTAAATTGATTTTAAAACTTGTTTTTTGTTTAATTGAACAATTTATCAAAACCTGTTGAATTAAATAGGGAAATTTTTAAAGTAACATAAAATATATATATATTTTTTTTTTGAAAAAATATGATTGGAGTAGTGTAGATTTATATAGCATATACTATGAACAATCTTGTTTGAATTATCGAACGTTCATTGACTTAGAAAAATAGAAATAGAATATTGTTTGAAGAAATTATCAACATTTATTTTTGATAAAAAGAAATATTTTACAGAAATTGGTCGATGCTTTTTTTATTGAAAAATTTATTAATGTGTTTCGTCTGTTTTTATTGTTGGAGTTATTTCAAAAATATTGATATATTAATATATTAATTATTTATGTTAAAATCAGGAAATTTTTAGTTGTATTAATATATTGAACATTTAAGAATATGTTTATTTTTTGACAATAATTTTATATAAATAGTTTTATTGAATGAGCTTTTTTCAATTGGTTTTGATATAATATACATTTTCTTTCCAGTGTTTTTTTTAAAAGTTATTTTTGTGGTATAAATTTCTGGATATGATTATTTAATAAAGCTACCTGAATATAAATTGTATTTTTAAATGTTTTTTATTTATTAATTACGTCTGATTATTATAAATATAAATTGAAACTCAAAATAAAGCTCTTTGAAATTTATATGTATATATATATTATATTCTAAAAATATATCAATGATTTATATATAATAGAATTATTTTTATTATTTTTTTTTCATTCAAAATAATCAAAAATTTTTAGGAATACGTTTTGAAAGCGTCGCCAATGTGACGACAACGTGACCATGTTAAACAGGAATGGAATGATCATTAAAAAAAATTTTCAGTTATCTGTTTTGGATAAGACTTGTTGTTTATGTCCATCGTCTTTGTCAAATTGAACTGAATTGTATTTTAATGAATATTGTCTTGAAAAAGGTTTATTAAACCGAAACGTCAGACGTCGACATTTCATTCATTTTAAACAACATAATTGCATTTAAGGATTTTTGTTTGTTTAAAAATTTTTCTTCATTATATATATATATATATATATATATATAAAGAAACCAATTCAATTTATATAAGTTCTTATCATTACATATTCACCTGTAAGTTAAAAAATGAAAGGGAACGAAATAACGTTGGTTGGAGTATCGACAGTACAAGGAGATAACTGTATAAAAGGTTTAACCATTATAAAAATAATATATACAAATTCAGTTATTTCAAACATATTGATGTATTCATAGGTTCAAGAGCTTATATCCCATTCTGATGGATTGGGCTCTTGCTGTAGCGCAAAAAAAAACAAAAAAAAAAAAAAAAAAACGCTATTATGCGAAAATAAGAAAATAAAAACTTTCATTTTTCATGAATATATTCTATGAATACTTTTGAAATTCAAAAAGACGGGCCTTGACTATTATTCTTTTTTGGAGACCCACCCCCTCCGTGGAACATCTTTTTCTTAAAAATCACTGTTATTACATATTCAAGAAATTACCTCCCAGCACTTGGCTTTGTTAGTGTATCTTCTCAGATAAAGAGTTCCATTACAGACAAGAATAAGAAATTATTTTTGAACATTATTTTTTATGTTTATTCCAATCAGCTCGCAATTTAAAACCTAGATCTTTACCAGATAAAAAACATAATAATAGCTATATTTGTTTTAAATACAATGCAGAATTTGAAATATATAATATAACAAACGGAGGCATAGAGGCGGTGTAATTTGGCAAACATGTCTTTCATTAGGACAATTATGACTTATATAATTCGGCCTTGTGCCACATCTAATCTACGCTTGGAAAATCACTATAACGACGATGTGAGAAATTGTATTAGTGTTACGACTCGTTTCAATTAGTGAAGTGTTTTTTTTTTAAATAGTAGGTTAATGTTCATTCTAATTTATCAGGCATTTGTTTATTGGTGAAAGCAGCAGTTCTTTTGCCTTTAATTGATGACAGAGCAGAAAAGGTAGAAAGATCGACAGAAAGTGACAAAAGGGGAGAAATAATGACAGAGGGTGACAGGAAAGTAGAAAAATTGACCGACAGCAATAGAAAGAAAGAAGAAATGACAGAAAGCGATAGAGAAGAAGAAGAATGATAGAAAGACAGAAAGGATGCCAGAAAGTGACAGAAAAGAAAAAGAAATGAGAAAAGTGCTAGAATGAATAACCAGGAAGCGACAGAAAGGAAGAATAAATGGAAGAAAGTGAGAGAAGGATTAAAAGAGTACACAGGAAGATATGAGTTACAGAAAATGATAGAGATTTATAAGGAAAGTTTCATAACAGATTGATAAAATAACGGATAAACGTGATAGATAGGTAACAGAAAATTAAAAAGTAAATAAAAAAAGGAATGAGAGAAAATGATAATTTAGAAAACGAATATGAGATTTGTGATAAAAAAGATAAAAAACTGATTGAAACGAATGGAATACGTGAGATATGTAGATAGATAGATAGATAGATAGATAGAAAGTGACAAAAAGGGTTTGTATGCATGAATGTTTATGACATTGAAATAGCATTGGGTTAAAATTACATAAATCAGAAATTATCCTTCGGCATTTTCTTTTGCCGACCATCAAGCCCCATAGTTTTATTTAGGGGCAAATTTATAAATAAAATATCAAATCTACATATGATTTAAGAAAATATTATGTTTATTTAAATATATATATATATATATATATATATATATATATATATATATCTATCTATCTACATGTATAAAATTTGTATATATATACATAGAATATGTAATTTTACAGACACAAACAACGTATTTTTATATATTTTTAAGGGGACATGCACTGAGTTCGACGCACGAGTGCGTAACTGTTAATTTTTTTTACAACAGAAAGTCCAGACAACTCACGCATATGATTTGATTATATTGTTGGAAACAATTTCTTTAAACCAGAATTTTTGGGTGGACTGATATAAGAAAAAAAATGAACTTTTCAAGAAGTTTCTGGAACAGCCCTCTTGCTCTGAATTTGAATTAGGTTTTAAACATTCAATTAAAGGACTAAAATATTTTAAAAAAGGACATCGATAATTCTATTTGAATGGATTCATATCAAGTTTATATTTTGCAGAAATGAAAATAATAAAAAATTATTTGGATTGCGAATTTATAAAAATACCGTTAAAAGAGAAAAATACATTTAAAACATAAAAACATTTATAACTCTTCCGGATGCGATATCTTACAAGAATTTCTTTTTATATATATATATATATATGGATGTGTATTTTTTCAAAAAAAATTATGGTTGTATTCGACAAATTTTGGTATCCGTTTAAAAAAAAGATTTGAAATAATATTATTCAATCATATATCCAGAGAGACATTAAGAGAATATATATTATAAAAAAACATATATTTGGAAGAATTAATTTATAAAGATTGAAATATAAATATAATATAAAACAAAATACTGATATATCATATATAATTATATATATATATATATATTTAAAAAATAAATTTAAAAACTGAAAGAAAATGTAATAGCAATAATAAATATATAATCTATTTAACAATATTTTGTATGTATTATATGTTTATTAAAATAATTTTAAATCGGAGAATTTATATATATATAAAAATAAAAATATAATAAATATAAAACCATAATGATACATTTGATTTAAAATTGCTACACTCATAAAAAAAGAAAATAACAGTTTCAGAAGGAAAATTCTGGAGAGTGCCGCCACAGAAAATTATCCAAATATTAATTTACGCCTGAGGCTTTTCCCCCTATTTCACCTTTATTAACAAAATTAATGCTTCTACAAACAAATATGCACAACAGATTCATAAAATCGAAAAGAAAATGGTTGAATACATCAACACAGATATAATGACAATATTTCTCCACGTATTTAAAAATCTGACGTTATTTTTTCAGTTAAAAATATGAAAATAGCGTTTCTCTACATTCCAGTTGCTAGGTACATTCTGTTTTGTTTTTATTAGTTACTTTGTTCATTTAATTTCATTTTCGTATTTTGCTTTGATAAAGTCCACATTGGACGAAACGCGTCTTAATTACCAGTTTTCCTATTGTCATTTTTATTCATAAATAAATATATATATATTAAATATATATATATATTTTCATATATATATATATATATATATATCGTATATATATTAAAAATTATATAAACATACTATATTTTATATTAATCTATATATAATCCTATATATATATATATATAAACAATTGACCATTTAAAATCATGTTAAATTTTACTAATTTATGACTGAATTAAAATTCATTGTATTTCAGAAATATAAATATCCGCATCGGAAAATATTCCTTTTTTACAGGATGGAAATTTTTCTATGAAACTATTTTTTAAAAAAATAACACATAGACATAGTTACATATTTTTTGAGATAGGACAGCAAAAATAATACTTTATATACACAGACATATTTAATCGTTCAAATATATGATCAAAAAAATAATGTGCTTTAAAATTTCCTGCAGATAAAAAATAATATATCATTGAAGTTTCAAAAATTGTTTTTTTAAAACTATCAAAATAAAGTTTCTTTTTTCAAATTGGGAAATGAGAACAATGGCATTTGGCTAGATAAAACAAACATATTAAAATTATTTTTAATTGTAATTCCTTTTATTAATCTAAACAATATCAAATAATATGAACTAAATATATTTTAATAATATGCGTAGATCATAAAAGGTCCTATAGGTGATCATGGTTTATCTACTTTTTCCTCGCTTTTTTTTTATCATCCATGGAATTTAAGTTTTGGTATGTCACGGTAGTTTAAAAATGTTTGTTTAATTTTCCTCAAGTCCAAAACCCGTAAGTAAAAAATTCTCTAGGATTCTTTTTCATTATTTGGGAAAAAAACATGAATTCCTTTTATGATGTTAAGTATAATTTTTTAATGGAAAACAAACCTATCATCCTTGTTCATATTTAATAAAGTCATGATATCCAAGAAATTCTTCTGTAGAACCAAAATTATCGCCTAAAAGTTTTGCATATTTTTTTCATTTCATAAATATTTATTATCAAATAAATTACTACTGATCAACGTAACATCTTAAATTGTATTCTTTTCTTTTGATTCTACTTTTTGACATTATCATTCAAACATTGTGCCCATTTTTGGCATGCGCACTTGCCCCCATTTAATCTATTTCTTCGGATCTTAAGTGTCGCATTAAAGATAACTTGTCGAAATATTCATCCCATGTTTTATATTTTTGGGTATATATATATATATAACTAGTGAGCGAGTCAGAATGACTTATTTCCTTTATAGTCGACCAATGGAAGGTTGACCAATCAGAAATATCGCAGAACACTGTATCCGTCGTGTATAAAGGCGGCCATCTTGTTTTCTCACCGGAAGGACCAGAAAACTTGTTCGGCGACCAGGACAGACGGAAGAACTACACTCTGCTGCGATATCCACTGCGAACCTGAACTACGCTTTCCTACTGTCTCCGAAATATTCACTGCCAACCTCTGGATTCTATACTCGAGGACGACCGTCATGAAAATGTCAAACAGTCCCAGATATTTATGTCTAAAAAGTTTTTCATTCGTAGTTTTCAGCAAATTTTTTTTAAATTCTTTTCCGAAAACAAACTGTTCTAAATTTCATCTACGTATCTTATGTTGTTAATAAAGACCGGGAAATAATTAAATCCTTTGACAGGGTTCTAATTTTCTTAATTGCATCATAACTGGTTTGTCATAGGTTTTATAAGAAGACGCATCCTTAACTTTATGAATTTTTTATTTTGTATATTTATGAAACAAATTATCCAAATTTTTGATTATTTTTTTTTATGATTATCTTTTTTATAGATTCTGGATTATTCTGATTAAATCCATCAATGAATTATCAATTTTAGGCCGCCAGTTCTCGAATCATCTGCCAACGGAAGTTGAATATATTAAAATTTTTACTAGAACTGCTCAACAATACATCAATGTCGATGAAAAGAATTCAACTTAATTTTTAATATAAACAAATTATTATTCTATTATAAATTTAACCTTAATGTTATTAGATATACATATTTTACATATAGATATATTATTCATCTAAATTCATTTTTTAATAATAAAGGGAAATAATTGATGTAAATGAGGGTGCCATTAACAGATAACAGGGAAAAATATTAAACGATTTTCCTGAACTTTTCTTAATTGTTAGATATTTAACTCATAAAGAATTGTACTTATTATCAAGTAAATGGCATTAAAAATGTTAAAATTTTAAATGAAGAGGGTTAAATTCACTAAAATCATATTATTTAACTGCAATTAGATAAATAATTCCCAAACTAAAAAATTTTAAATATTAATAGGCATATAAAAAATGTTTATTAGAACCTGAATTGTGTCAATTGGCGTCAGACCAGGTATATAGTTTAGATTTCAGTTTAAAAAATGTCCTTTCCAGAGACGATTAAATTTAAAGATTAGGTAAAATTATCTTCAGAACTCTTGTATATAAATATTTGTTACAAAAAAAAAATAAAAAATTTGCCTTGGAAATCTAAGATCAAACACGGATGACAGACAAAATGATAATTTTCTCTATTTCAAATATATATATATTTTTTATTTATTGATTTTTAGAATTCTGTGTGTGTGTGTAATTTTTATAATATATTAATGATTTATAAAAATATTTATATAAATTATGATTTCTTATATCGAAAACAGACAGACAAATTATGAAATTTATTATTTTAGATACATTTATATTTATATCTTCCACCAAAAGTTTCAAAATAAGTTGAACGGATTGTTTTATTTTTTCCAATTTTTGAAAAAAAAATTAACAGACATCCATGAAAAAGGATAGAAAAAATTTTCACTTATATAATGTAAATAAAAATATATATATTTTATAAAATAGTATACCTTTACCTTATATTCTTATTTGACAAGGATTTGCTTATTTTATATTTGTAGGCGATTAGAAAATTTGTTAGAAAATGAAAATTTATTATTTTTAGACAAATTTTAACTCAAATGAAAATTATATAAAAAAAAAATCTTATAAAAACCCAAACATAAAAATTAAGGTTTTGAAATTTTAAAAAATTAACACTGTATATCGAAAAAACACCTTCAAGAAATTTTTTTTTGGATATAATATATAGAATATATATTATATATATATATGCCATATATATATATACTTTATATTCTATTCAAAATTTTTGAAAATGATGTTTACTTCCTTATGCATATTATTTTTTAATGGTTGAATATATAAACCTTCATCTTATATATATATATATATATATATATATATATAAATACTTTATATCCATGTGTGTGTGTATATGTTGTAAAATTATTTGTTTTTTTAAAATCAATATTTCCTTTTTAAATTTTTTTAAGATTTTTTAGGTATTTACAATAAGATTTTCATTAATATATGAAATATGCTATAAGCGAGAAAATTACTTCAAAACATGGAT